CCCTGTAACTTTACCTCCAGAAAGAACAGCTTCTTCTTAGCGACCTTCAGGATCTCTCGCAACCAGCCAAGGTGAGGGTCATTGGCTTCTCACAGAGCACATGTTAGTTTGCATTCAGGAACATCAGACACAGTCGATGATGGTCAGGGTTGATGACAGCTATGTACACTACATCTAGAATGACATATCCTAAAGGTCCACGTTTACAGTAGCATATGCTGAATTAAATATCCATCTTCACATAGGGGAAAACATACAACGGTTACCATACACACACACGCATTTATCTCCAAATCCCCATCTAACTCTACACCAACATCAACCTATCAAGTACTTGCCCTAATCCTATATCCACATCCTAAACTACATCTACAATTATCAAATCCCAGCACTATGGCGTTTGCCGTAAAAATCGTGTATGAACAGGAATGAAAGCCGAAACGGATTTTTCCGAACCTAGGAAATTTTGTGGAAATGTGAACTTACGTACCTAGTGTTCCTCGCGTGGCTGTGTTACCATGGTAGCACAGAAGTCTTCGCATATTCTCCCTGCGCCGCAGAATCCCCATCTTGTAGCCATGTTTTTATCTGTACAAGTTCAATCATGAAAAGTGCACTTCAGTGTGTAGTTTGCTATATTAATATTAAAGTCATTATTTTGGATAACTTAGATTTATGGAAAGGTGCGTCGTTCAACGTGCTGTGAATATTTTTCCATCTATAAATACCAAACACTACGTGAGATTACTGTGAGAGAACAATCGGCATTGTTACACGAAACATTCTGTGATTGTTCCCAGCATGTAGAATAAACTCATGTCGTTGAAAATCACTGACTATTAATTACCAATCCTGTCTTTCATGTAACAATTAGGCTGTAATCAGTATTTATGGATTTAAAGGATTGACCTTTTCTTAAATGTAATAATAGTTAACATCACTTCGCCCAGTGCCTATAACAGTAATATCACAGACTGTCATGAGAAATAACATACCAGCCCATAGAACATGGTTGTGTTACAGTTTGTTAATCAGATGCATTAGTTACTTGTATGTTACCTCTACACTAAGACTGGTGTCACAGAAAACTATTGATAGAGGATGCATTTCTTAAACATACGTCTGCGATGCTTTTTCTCATATTTGTGAATTATCTCAACAGAAACTATTTTCTTGACCTGGTTCGGGTGGATCAGTGTCAGTCCAGTCAAGCGCTCCTAGCCTCGGTACTCCTCCGATGCATCTTCAGCCTTGTAAGGCTGGGAAAATGTCCTTTCTGCTTCAGTGCTTGTAACTGGAAGTGTAGCGGCAATTGTGAGCAGCTTGCGGATGTTAGGGAAAACATCCTCCTCAGCAGACTTCAAACTTTCGATTGCACCTACAGTGACAACCAGTGGATGCGTCAGAAAGAAAAGAAGACACCATTGGTAAGTCATTCTCCCAGGCAGAACATTAGTTTTGCTTCCATCTGTGGCAGAACTGGTTGCTTAACAACCGCACATGGCAGAAGACCAAACAGTTCAATTCCAGGACGGTTCTCTGGACTGGACCTTGTGTTCATCTCTTCTTGCAGATGATCAGGGAAAGGAATGATCAAATTGAGCTTGAAGTGTTCTTCAGGAGACTGATATGCTCCATTCGCTTTCTGTGTCGTCCTCCTCACAATCCGCGGGAGACGTATTTCACCATCGGTATGTTCTGCAATCGCACAAGCTTCCACATACCAATCATGACTCCTTTGATCCACATGGTTCTGATCATTGATACCCTTTCGTCAATAAGTTTGTAAGCCATGAAGATGTCGTTGTCCCTTTCTTGAAGTTTGGCTGCCACTGTTTAATAACTTATAGGCATTATAGGCCACCACATACGCCATGATGTGCTACGAATCTCTCAGAATGGCCCTTGTGATTTTATGGTTGTTTCTTTGTCCCATGCCCAGTTCTCATCACGATAAATGTCTGTGTGGTTTGGAGGATATAGGATGGCCTCAAAACATGTGGCTATACAACGTTTGAAAGACGTCAAAGCACACATGCCTCTCAACCCATCTAGTCTTGCAAAATCCCAAAAGACGAGTTCTTGTCGTATCAGAACTCTCGCTAAATACCTCTGGTGTTTTGGTGAATTGTCAAAGAAAAACTTGGTGGATGTTGTCCATCATGTTTCTGATTTGAGGAATTTGGCATGAAGCTGCAATACTCAGATTCAGAACATGGCTGTTTCAATGCGTGTACAAAGCCGTAGGTGCCAATGTTTTGATGAGAGCCTGAGCGCCAACTGGAGATGAAGACATGCAAAATGCACCATCATAGACCAAGAACCTCAACATTGGAAAAAGTATATGTGACATCATCGGCAATCACAGAAAACACCTTCTGTCTGAAGCTGAATGACCACCTCTGAGCGATGTGGTCACAACTACTTCAATGAGTTCATTTTGAACTGTTTTGCTGGTATATTGGGCGTTTCTTCTGCCAAACTCTAAATGATGACGAAGTTTGTCATTTCAATCTGCAAGTAGATTTAATATGGCCAGAAAGTTTCTCTTGCTTGGCTGTTCTGATGTCCTGTCATCTCTGTGCCCCCTCAAGAAAACAAACTTTGTCTGCCACAGAGTATCACCGTGTCAACTATTTGTTTCAGAATGTGGCAGTTCAAGTCGTACATCTCCTTATTCTGTTGAGATATTCGATAAGGTAACGACTTTTCAGGTTCTTTGTAAATGCGTAGGAAGTTCAACGCCGCAAGAACAGCTTGTTTGTGAAAAACAGGTATTCTAGTGAGGCTCAAATACACCATTTTTCCCAGTTGCTTTAGACAAATTTGTGAAAGGATACTTTACTAAAGACCCTGTGCACTTTCGCTCATCAGCCAGGTTCGGAAACAGAACAAACATTTTACATAAGCCTCCACCTGCTGCTGGACTGTACATTAGCCAACTGTACTTATTTAATACAAGACGTGTTAGTCGTTTCTGTTGTGGTCGAGCTCATGTTTGCGAAACGAAGCCGGCAAAATGGTGTTTAAGGTATTGATACTTTTGATCTTTACTCAAAGTACTGAGGTTAACTTTCCCTGAAACAATATCCCCAACGTCAGTGCCGTCATACCCCACAGACGTGTTCTTCGTCTCAACTGGATCAATGCCAGGCACAGACATTTTCGGCGTCTTGTTAGCTGGTTCACTGCTGCTGTCCTGCATATCCCTGGTATCGGGTTATGAGAAACCAGAGCTGGTGGAGTGTTGTTTTTTTTCATACACTATCAGCTGAGTCTATGTTACCCAGGTTCTCAGTTTTCACTTCGGAAAACTCTGCTTTTGTACGAATACCTGGCAAAGCACACTCACTTTCCATCTTGCCAGTTTTAACACAGGCCACAAAATGGCTATATGTTTCCATCCCGCTGTGTCTGTGCTGGTCATGTGGGTCCACATGATACAGATAGGTGGGGTCTGTATTTCCCCAACGAGTGGTGTGATGGTTTGGTGCATGACCTGTCGATCAATTACTACACTCGGAATATGGGATAAACCTATATGACCTTGCGCTGAAAAGCATTGTTTGCCGCGTATATGTGTATAAGAGAGGTATACCGTCCATTGTTTACAGTGTTAAGTACCTCTTTCCGAAAGGTTTGTTGCATAGATGAAGTCACAAGTGATTCATCAGCTGCTGAGGTAATAACGACATACTGTAACAACTTCTGGTTTTCCTTGGCTTTCCCACCTGACATAGCAGCAAGTGATGACTGGTTGATGTATAGCTTCTCGTTCACGACAGGCTCGTTTATGATGGTGCGATTCATCACCAAACTGTTGTCCGAGAAGGCTCGGAGACAATTTCCATCACTAATGCACGCTACTAGATGTCGAGATATCGGAGCATCAGTTGGATAAAGACCACGGAATCGCGAGCAAACTTTTCACACTTTGGTACTTGGTCAGGAAAATTGAACTGTTTGATACTCTGCGATCTCAAAGAAAACTGAAAACTCCGACATTCCCAACCTTGTTTTGCTGCACTAAGTAATGCTGAGAGCAGCCGCCGGTAATGTACCACACGCTTCTGGTCGTACACAATAAAATGATTTCTACATGTAACAATCTTACTTAGTCAACAAGATAAATTTAGAAACAACAGATATACAAACATGACTGCAAATCGAAAACAAAATATGAACTGAACCCAATAATACATTGACCATCTGTAAGCTGAAAATATATTTATTTGAAACAGCATGATTTAAACGAACTATGAAGCCTACTTTGGAAAATGGAATCTAATCCGAAAATGATCAATATATAATGAAATTATGAAGTAGCAACACTAGGATGAGAAATCCTAGAAGCTAGAACAATTGTCAAAGATCTATATATACAGTTACTGCCCGAGAGCCAGTTATAAAGTTGACTGGTGCACCCCCTGTTTTCACGAGGGTTTCAATGGTCATTTAATAAACTTACAAAACAAAAATGGGGGTGAGCATTCCATCACAATGATAGGGATGGATTTAGATTGACATATATGTTAAATTTGGAGAAGACAAATAATGCCATTGAACCCCTTACGGTTCAGAGACTTTCATTTGGGGAAGCCTAGAACAACTCACGTGTTCATTTAACATCTAAGACTGACTGAGTTTCATTTTACGCCGCTTTTAGCAATATTCCAGCAACATCACGGCGGGGGACACCAGAAATGGGCTTCACACAGTGTGCCCATGTGGGGATTCGAACCCGGGTCTTCGGCGTGACGAGCCAACGCTTTAACCATTAGGCTACCCCACCGCCCCTAACATCTAAGAAACTTGTGATATACATGACAAAATAAATAACAAATAAAGAAGGTTATATCGAGTATTTTGATTCATGCTGATCATCACTCATGCCACTTAGATGCTGCTGCATTCAATGTCTGATTGCGGCAAATATTTTATATTCCATGATGCATGGTGGCAAGGTCTATGAATAGATCGGGGGATTTCCAGAATAACGGTCACGTGACTCTAACTAGACTCAAAATGGCGACGTCTACGATAAGCGAAGACGAAGAAGGTAGAACAGAACGACCGGGTACTGAGCAAACGGTGTACATATCTGAGGAAATGGAGCGATGGAACTGTTTGAGAAATAGCCTGGGTTTGGAAGAAAAGGACAACCCAGTTGTTGCCAAATACTTGCTGGATTTGTACAGGTGATATCCAATGTCCCACCGATGTTTTCATTACATTTTTTATATCCAGATGCATGCCCTGCCGTTATACCTGTTTTACTAGAATAAAAGCTACTAAAACTCACATATCTTAATCAACCTTAAGCTAGATCAGCCAGATCAGTGAAGCAGTTATTATTAATCACAGACGGCACCAGCAACACTGTGCATGATGATCTGTTATCATTGTCTTGCATATTTTTGCATAGCTTGATTACCAATATTATTACCTTAAGACATAATGTTGCAAATTATCCAGAAATATTAGATGTGACACCGCAATGTACCTCTCTATATTATCAGTTATGATCATACTGATGGAAGCTCTTGCTTTTGTTTCAGCAACGTGGGAAGTAAAGCCATTCAGCGTAACAACCCTTCAGTTCCCAGCTGGTCTCCCCCAGACTCACCCCCAGGCTCACCCCCAGGCTCACCGGGCCTCGTCACTGACTCGGGTGTTGAGGAAACAGGGAAGAAGAGAATTGAGGATGTTGCATCAAAAATTAAAAAAAGAAAGGTCTGTAGCATCTTGTCTGTTCGTGTTTGGCCAGAATTTGCCTCCACTGCTTTACCTCATGTTTTGTCCTTAGAACGTCAAAGGTCAAGGTCACAACTATGTAAAGAAATTTGTGTTACAGGACTTATTAGTATATGCCTCTTCTTTGTGTGCCTTGTGCTGGCAAGGGTTTATGAAATACTGGATGGCAGGGATCAGTGAGCTGAATGATAGCATACCATTCAACCCCATGAAATATGACTTTGCTCATAGTATTAGCCACTGGTTTGCCTGTCTGAGATTTGTTTATTAACAGACCAAATCGTACAGCTGATTGTAATTTTTGAGTGCATTGGTACTGATCGTTCATTTCCTCTCTCACCTACTTTGATTGTGCTCCTTGAAAAAGTTTGATTGACCCATAAATTGCTATTAATTTTATGCCTCATATTGGACTTATCAAATTACTCTAAACTCTCAGTTTTCTCCAACAGCTAAATGATTGTCAAGATTCTCCATCCACTGTGTCAGAACCACCTCCTGCCTCCATCACGAGCAGTGCAGTGGCCAGCCACATTGTGTTCAAGGAGCTGGACAAGCACTCAATTCTCCTGATGTCCAGACACCCTGTGGTCAGCCTGGTCAACGACCAACAGATCCTCCACCTAGACTCTGCCATGACTTTGTCTCAAGGTCGGTATAAGTCTAGGGCAGCAGAAATAACTGACAGCAAGTAGTATCATTCCAGATACAGTGTAGAACCTCAAAGTGGCTTAACAGTATTCAACGCTCAGATGATATCATAATAATCCTAAACATGAGAGCACATTATATCAGAAATCTGCAGGCCACTGTACAGAGCTGCCTGTATGTCCCTAATGACATCCTGCTATCTTTGCAGTTGTTATGCTTTTCATTTACATCTCGTTTCTTCTTTTTCAAGTGATCCTCACTGTGTTCTATGATGTTTGAATCAAAGTGAATCAAAGTTTCTAATACTAAACTTCTGTCTATTGTTTTGCCGTTGTTAGGATAACCTTCAAATTCAGTCCATTTGAGCAACAATGATGGTAAGATTACTTTCCTTGGCACTATCATCTGCAGAAGCCCTTGGTCTATCCAACTGCATCCTTCATTGGAGAAAAAGTGACAAACCTCAGGAAAATAATAATATCTTTAGAAGAGACATTTCCCTTATTAAGTGTGTTAAGTACATGACAGCATCTCAAGGTGGAGAGTGAACCAAAGAACTAGGCTACAGAGTTGCAGATAAATCCCAGACTTTTAAGAAAACATTTTTCAAGTACATGTACATCAGCAAGAGACGTACATATATTTCGTTAGGACCATGTAAAGGGAGTTTGAAACATTAATAATTGTTGATAAATGTTTCAGATTTTTTGTTCAGTTTATACTTCTAAGTCTGATGAACATTCTAAATCTCATAAATAAGGGACCTCAGATATGTGGTCTTATGTTATTTATTCCTGTTTCAGAAAACAGTCGTAAATGGAAACAGTTTTGTGCTGCCAATCGTGACGGGAAGACCAGCGTCCTGCCCGGCCTGTACAAGCTGTGGCAAGAGAACAAGTACCTGGATGCTGTCCTTGTGGTCAACCGGCACAGGGTCGCTGTGAGTCAGATAATACACTGCACAGTTTAAGGGGTCCTTGTCAACCGGCACAGGGTCGCTGTGAGTCAGATAATACACTGCACAGTTAAAGGGGTCCTTGTGGTCAACCGGCACAGGGTCGCTGTGAGTCAGATAATACACTGCACAGTTAAAGGGGTCCTTGTGGTCAACCGGCACAGGGTCGCTGTGAGTCAGATAATACAGTACACTGCACAGTTTAAGGGGTCCTTGGGTCATTACAGTTTCACTACCGTGGTGTTTGAATCTTTTGAACTCCATGGGATGTCAATTCAAAATCATATCCTAGTGAGCTTTCACTGTATTTAATTGCATCAGAAGACTGTTATAAAAGAATGTTGTGGCTAGAATGTGTATATTCTGGTTACATTTGAGATGGTGCTCAAAAATGAAATAGATCATAGATGTTATCACTTGTTTCTATAATGAAAGAAGAGAGTTGTTTGACTGGATGTCTGTTTTTAGCTTTGTGTCATTCAGCCTGGCCTCATCACTCTGAAGACCCAGGTTCAATTCCCCAAATGGGTAAAATGTGTGAAGCCCATTTCTGGTGTGATATCTGCTGTGGTATTGCTGGAATATTGTTAAAAGTGGTGTAAAACAACACTCACTCACTCAGATTGGACTCAATAGAAAGCTCTGGTGGGGCATGAGTCTATGGTGTTTATCATAACAGAGTGGAGATTAAATATCCTGGATAATGGAGGCTGTCTTTTCTTTCCTTCAGCTTCACAAGATCCTGCTCATTGGGGCCTCTCCAGTACTAAGTGGCGAGTTTGAACATGAGCCCATCCATGACATGAACGAGTACAGACTAGAAATAGACAACGCTGAGATGAACAACACTGTTTTGGTGTCCCTGGTACGCTACCTGTACACCGGACTGCTAGTGTGTAGTCCACGCCAACAGATGGCGCTGCATAGGCTAGCCAGACTACTGAAGATCGACAGGTTGTGTGCCATGTGCAACAAAGTGAAGCATGCTGGGAGTGCAGACAGGAAGTCAGTTAGGCATGCAATACATGACGTCCCTGTCAGTAGTGAACACAGCGTATCTCAGTTAGGGAATGGACAAGTATTGAGCAGTAACAGATTGGTCAGTACAGGAATGCCATCCCACACTGCTGACAATGTCAGTAATGGCTGTTCTGGATGAGATGGACGTTTACCAAGCTATGTGTTCAAAGTGATGTCAAGTTTCATCCATAGATCCAAGTTTCATCCACAGAAGGTCACTTCAGAAGTCTAAGTGACCTAGAACTGTCGAGTATATGCGAATGAGGAGTGAGTTCTTGAGTCATCAGATGTCATCTTTACAGAAAGATTCAGCTTCATTTCCTCGCCACCTTTATTCAGAACATTATTTTTTATCAAAAGAAAACCTACACATATTCCATCAGTCGGCTTCCTTTGGGAGTAAATGCCATGGCACTCGATAATGACAAGGAGTATGATATATCCAAAATGTTATGATGGCATGTTCTAAATTTTTTATTTGAGGAACTTGACAGTTTAAGTTTGTTTTCAAGTTCAAATATGTTGTCTGAATCTTTGACTAAAAGCTGATTGGATGATTAGAAAGTTCCCAATCTTCATGGGGAGAGGTAGCTTATAAGACTAAAAGACCTGATGTAATGAGACATAAGAAATAGTTATGAAATCATCAAACGCATATACTTGATCATCCTTCACCTGATCATGTTCATAAAGTTAGAATGGGGTAAAAATAGATCTTAGTTTGATGTCAAACATGAACAGTCTCTCAGTTCTCAGTGTGGTCCATCTACTCTTTATATTTGTATAACTAGGAGCTGGACAACATGACAGGTTCTCTAGGACTTCTAATAGCTCAATCACAAGGGAGGTTTGCTGTCAGTGACACCTAGGGCAGGAACACCTGAATGTGGATGTACATGCTAGAGTTGCACACAGAGGTGTGGATCTGACATTCAGTGGGTGTGTATTCACAGATGAACCTATATTTGTTACAATTAGGGCTGCAAGATCTGTGAAACAAGAAATAAAAATAAACATGAACATTCTGAGTTGTTTCTTCATTCTCCTAGTCAAGTCTGGGACAGGCCAACCCATGACCGCCATCATATACAGTGATACATGGTATATGACAATACACAACCAGATTACCCCTGGCCACCTAATCCCCATTACAGCAGTCTCGTATAAGAGTACAGGGATCTCTGTGCAACTGTGCTTCACATCGGGCCAGCCATCCAAGGCCATCCTTGATGAAGTGTAGCACCATCATTGATCAACTATTATGGCATCATCATCTGCTGCATGTTTAGAACTAATGAAGGCACTGATTTAGTGGTAATCTTTTATTATCAATGAGACAGATTCTAAATATTTATATTTCAGAAGTGTAAGAATCGAGTGTAACAAACTATTGTATGATAATCAGAATACAGTAAATACTGCTCATTTCAAATTAAACAACTAGTCAGATTACATAAGTATGATCAATGACCACCACACCCCATGATCTACGAAACCTTCATGGGCTTCAAGAGTTGACTAAAGTACAAGGTAATGTCCACTCGGACATGTAATATTGCCATTTAAGATTACTACGTTTGTATACAAAGGAACAAGTCTGACTAGAAGTGACAGTTTTTAGCTATACACACTACACTCAACATCTTTGGAAGTTTAAAAAAATTCATTCCCTCTTCATTTCCTCACAAGGCAGTTACATGACAGTAAAAACATCCTTACTCATGTTAATATTCAACTATTTCAACTAAACGTTCAACTTGTCATATTCAAACCCAGTGTTTATAATGTATCAATATACATGTGCTACCTCCTGTCTACATAATGATACATGATTATATATCCCAACACCATATGTTTGTGTTTAGTTATCTTAAAACATGATGTATAAGTTGAAATATTATTTTATGAACATCTCACAACAGTGTATGTGTGTGTGAGTGTGTGTGTGTGTGTGTGTGTGTGTGTGTGTGTGTGTGTGCATCTTAAGTACATAGTTTAAAACTATACAATTTGTTCATGTTACAAGTTCCCTGCACAGATTGTCTATTCAATTCTTCAACTACACAACTTCCTTAATTAAAAGACATGTGGCCAACCATAGCATTGTTCAGTATCAACATAATCACCAGACTGACCTCATACAGATTGACCCCATCATGCCACATATCCCTGACTACGTTCTGATTAAACCAGCATTGTTAAGCATTGGTGTGGTGGAAGCCATCGGTCTTGTTGATGTTGAGGTACTTGAAGATGACTGAAGACCCTGGTTTAGTGTCCGGCTCACACGCAAACAAGCCAATCTTCACGTCCGCTTTGTTGGGGTTGTTGAGGTGAGCTATACGGATAAACTCCCAGTTGTCTGAAGTTGGGTCTTTCCTCTCAACCTGAACACATGTAAAACACTGATCACTGAATATTCAAATATCCTATTATTTCTAACATGTTTACTGAATGAATTGGGTGTGTGTGTGCATGCGCGCGCGCGTGTGTGTGTGTGGGGGGGGAACTATGACATCATAATGTGAGTGTTTGTGTGTGGCCTACCAGAACACAATGAGAGTGAATTTGCAACCTACCACAACACTGTCTCCCAGTCTGTAGAGACGAAGACTGAGCTTGCTGCTATCCCACTTGGTGGTCGACCAGTCACTATTGTAGTTGGTCACAACACAACTCAGTTGCCACGCCCCTTCCGAATACTCCAGACCCTACAAGCAACAGTCACGGGTATCACTTAATGATCTGCAGGTGCACAAGGGAATGTTTATCAATATCATAGTAAACGATATCTCCATCCTATCACAGCAGCCTGTAAACAAGCAAGTCAGTTAATATAATAAGCCAAGCAGTGATTGCTCATATATGTTCCAGTGAACATGTATAATCCCTGAAATTTTCAGTGATTATGTATAATGTCGGATTCACTCGGATTCTTGTGTAGTTTGAAGAATATTTCACCCAAAATGGTGTGGTTTCAGTTAGTAGCCAGCTGAGATCAAAGGGTCAATTAAGCAAGGAGGAATTTGGTTTGTTTTGTACTGCTGATAAGTGTATTAAACACCCCTTACAGATTATGAACTGAGTGTGACTGTAAGACATTTATCCATTCAACAAGGGCAACAATGGGCTTTGCTGATGAGAGGATCTGAGACTGACTCACTTGAGAAATGGGCTCATTTCGAAACAGTATGTAATGACACCCGCACCTCAGAAAAGTTCACATCCAAACTGGGGTCTGAGAGGGAGTTGCATTTTAGAAGTCACATGTATGAATTGTACAACACCTACAAGCAAGTATTGATTCCAAGAGATGTCAATATCAAAGAACCATAAGTGAATTGCAGTCCAGTTTGGGTCAGCCTGTGGTGGACAAGGCTATGTTAAGTGCAATTGTGCTGGGGTCAAGAGGTGTCAGACAAATAGATGCAAGTGCTACAAGGTTGGTGTAAAGTGTAATTCAAGGTGCCACTCATCATTGCCTTGTTAAAATAAAAACTGAATTGATGTTCTCCAAACATGTCCACCATACAATTCCTTAAGGGACCGTTAATAATTTATGGCTAGAGTGCAGGGTGTGTGGGTGTGTGTGATGATGGAGAGGCATGTACAATGTGACTGATCCCCTAATATTTATGTACAAAGTAAGTGACCCTGCTTGTCATGAAAAAAGTCAATGACACAACCCCCCCCCCCCCTCCTCTTCCCTTCCCATATTTTTCAAGCATAACCTGTTCTTATTTTTGTGTACAAAATTGCTGATCCCCCAGGTACATGTGTACAAAATTGCTGATCCACCAGGTACATGTGTACAAAATTGCTGATCCCCAGGTACATGTGTACAAAATTGCTGATCCCCCAGGTACATGGGTACAAAATTGCTGATCCCCCAGGTACATGTGTACAAAATTGCTGATCCCCCAGGTACATGTGTACAAAACTGCTGATCCAGCAGGTACATGTGTACAAAATTGCTGATCCAGCAGGTACATGTGTACAAATTTGCTGATCCCCCTGGTACATGTGTACAAAATTGATGATCCCCTGGTACATGTGTACAAAATTGATGATCCCCCTAGTACATGTGTACAAAATTGATGACCCCCTCCTACCTGCCCAGAACAAAATGGGTGACCCCCACCCCACCCCTTCTTAAAATCATCATCACTCCCCAAGCCATAAATTATGAATGTTCCCTAAGTACATCAGACATTTATAAATTGTATTATGTTGAATAAAGATACCATTGTAGCAAAGAAACGTCTCTATCCTGCTTAATACAAAAGTATAATTCCACATCTTTTTGGATGAAATATACCTCAAACTACACAAGAATCGATTTCAGGCAATATGTCTAAAATTCTAGTCTATTTTTTCAGTGATTATGTATATGTTACAGTGAATATTGTAAAACCAGGGATTATGTATAAACCCTGAAAATTTCAGTGATTACGTATAATCACTGAGTGAATCCGGCGTTATACATAATCACTGAAACTTTCAGGGATTATACATAATACCTGGTTTTACATATTCACTGTAACATAATCACTGAGTGAATCAGACATTACACATAATCACTGAAAATTTCAGGGGTTATACATAATCCCTGGTTTTACATATTCACAGTAACACATACACCATCAAGGCATGTTATACACTAGCCATCCCACCAAATACTGAACCAATCCAATGCCATTTCTTGTCAACTCGCAGGCTCAAGTAGAATATGGTTCACATTACAATGTGTCATTTTTTGTATCAGTGACTTTGATCTCAGGCAACCAAGTGTCTTGGATAGAGAGTGGGTATATCACATTTACAATGTCGGTGACAATAGCTGATGCAACATCAAAATCAGACACGCATATGTGACACAGATATCAGTTGTTATGACTCTAATTCCTTCCTTATCAGAGCAAACACACACATTCCTTGGTTAACTTGGTGAGTGAGATGGGTTTATCTGCTTCGAACAGTGTTTCAGTCATGTCCGCTGCATGTGGGAGAAAATCACGAGGTGACACAGCTTTAGAGATTGTGAAACCCACAAGCGTGAATGTGCTGCTGCAAATCTAGACTACTACCAGTGTATGAAATAAGCCAAAAACCCAGCCCGATATCAGGGCTGGTAACTTCAAAATGTTACCCGCACAAATGGATTTAACCAGACCAGACAATCCAAAAAAACTTACTCAGATGTATGGAACATGTTTTCTAAAAAAAATTACCAGACCATCGGGCTGGCTAGCTGTAAATGTAGACCGTCTGCCAGAAATCTAGCCCGTCGGGCAGTCGGATGGGCCTTATTTCATATACTGCTACTACCCAAGTGTATCTGGGACTGAAACCCACAATGACTGATTTCTGGCACCACTAATGCAGGCTGTATTGCTGGTATCATCAGCATGTGGTACTGATTCATAATCATGTGCTTATAACATGGACAGAACTGTACAATGGACTCTAACTTTAGCAGCTCTAGATTCCTTAAGATTACGGAAACAAGAAGACAACATTACTCTGACTGATACTTAATTATATACAGTATAATATCTCCATTGTAGAATGATAAATATCCTGGACCTAATGAACACCATTTCAGAATTAGTCTCTACCAGAACAATGAATTTCTCTCATTCAGGACATTTATGTGATTGAAGAGTTGTGCTGATAGTGTCAGCTCCACGCTGTGGTGATGAATGGGCCCAGGATATTTATCATGACAGATCACACTGTGACACTGAGGATAAGTGAGAATGGACTTACAGTTTTCACCCAGTGATCTGAATCCAGCCTCAACATCAGCCCCGCCTGTGGCAACAGACAGAGTCATCTTCAACACAGTCACTTGGCAACAGATAGTCAATATACACCACTTGATATTATTGTAAGGATCATGTACACAAAATATCATACACATGAAAAAGTCACCAAGGACTTTAAGGGTTACTTGCGGGGCCATTTACATACTGGCCTATACTATTACAATATTAGTAAACAAACATTTCAAGATTAATGACTACATTAATTAATGTCACAGAATGAATAAAGTATTGCTGGCAATGAACAGTTTGTTGTAAGTGAGTGAGTGAGTTTAGTTTTACGCCACTTTTCGCAATATTCCAGCAATATCACGGCGGGGAACACCAGAAATGGGCTTCACACATTGCACCCATTAATGCCGAGCGCCAGACAGGGACTAACAAGTACCATATGTGAACGTCTTTTGGTATGACGCGGTCGGGGATCGAACCCGCGACCTTCCGCTCTCCGGGCGGACGCTGTAACCACTACACCACGGAGGCGGTCAATTTCATAATGATACAGCTGTTAGTCTACAATGTGTAAATAACACATGTTGTTACAATATGCCCCAAGCAAATTGTATGCAATCAACTCAAAATTATTTCAGCAAAGCATATTTATTCAGATATGTAGCTTATGTAGAGCTCTGAATTACCTGATCAAACTTGTTGGTACTGAGCACCTCAAACTCAGTTTCCACATACACTTTGTCGTCCTTTATCACTGTGTACAAGAAGTGACCATCATCCTTTCGCAGCTCGGGACATAGTATGTTCTGAATAAGAATTACTTATCAACTTAATATGAAAGATTGATTAAGAATTCATGAAATATCTTTTAACAACTAAGGGATGGTACTTGTATTTTTGAGTCTCTGGATGCAACTCAATTAAAGTCTTTTAAATCCAGAGGTCATTTCAGATGCACTTAAAGCAAACTTGACTGCTTAGTCTTAATGAAGAATGTGTGGAGTTTTGAGCCATTTTCATGTCTGTTCTGCTTCATTTCTTACATACTACCGGTAGCTTCAAATATTTTTACTTTAACAAAAGTAAACAAGGCCAGACCAATTTTATTTCTTGTTTTACGGATCCGCCGGTTGTAATTTTTCAAGAATAAGAAAAAAAATAATAATTAATTTTGCCCGCTCAAAAAATAGAATCCTAATGTTTTATTGGCCAAAAATATAAACTTACAAAAAAGATTTTTTTAAATTGTTCTTTTGCCCCTATAAACACTTCATAAATTGCCAAAAATAAAACACTTTTAGTATTTAAAAGTAATATTACTATGACTTGTGATTTTTATTTTTATTTTTTTCCCTCCTGCCTTTAGGTTTTCTGAGGACAAAAATCCGTAAAACAAGAAATAAAATTGGTCTGGCCCAAACAAGGAATGCAAAAATTCTGTTTGGCAGTACTTGCATTTGGTGTTGATGCCATTTTGCTCAGAAATACACATTGTGCATAAATTTTCCAGAACAATCTGTGTCTCAGCCTTTTATTATTTACACTCAGAACTTACCAGTTAGCTTCTTTTTTAAAATATGAAAATCACATATGCTGGTCACTTGGAGAATTCAGAAGACTTTAAGTGGATTGCCTCATCAGACAATTATCTAACAAAACCACCAATGGAGCGGTGTCAAATCTTCCTACAGCGGTACTGTATTGTACTTAAAGATTTGATTTTAATGAGATTGCCACTGGCCTGCGATTGATATAAAGATAGTTTGTACACTTCTGACTTCTGTAAATCATCTGCAGAACCGACCAACCAGACATGTAAAACAAACTACACAAGCACAACAAACACATACACACCATGGGGGCCTGAATGGGCATGTTTTAATAAACTTGACAGGAATAAATGAGATTTGAACTAGAAAGTTTTAATGGCATGGGTGATCTTTATTGTCTATGCTACCCAAGTGAACGCATGTATGTTACCTAGATTTGCCATGATACACAACTGTAGCAGTAAACATATACAGTAATGTACAGTAATGTATATCTAAAACGTCACATCTTGAGTAACAATATGATATGCAATTTCTGCCATGTTTGTGCATCGGTTTGTTGCTATCAACCAGGTTATGTTTAACAAGTTCACACTTGCCAGTGTTCAGAGTTCAGATAACTGCAAAACTTTGTATACATCTCATCTGAAACCTGATAAGAAATGTATCATGAGTCAGTGCATTGGTAGGGGTATTGTGTAATGTACATATCCCAGGTGTACATTTATGACAGATACATTGATGCAATTGTAACACACTCAGTACTTATGAAATTAGACCAAGGATATATATCATAAAATAATTACAACTTAAGTTTAATATTTTCCTTCAGTGTTTTATACTACAATTGTACTTTCATTTGATTTGGGTAAGGAAACCTAGTTTGAACTATAAATGACACTGTGAATAACAAACTGATCATGAATTCATGAATGCCTATGGTTCGATTCACTGAATACACAAGTGCAGGGGTGGAAATAACTTTAAAATTGCTAGTGTACTCCGGTACAGTGGCACATGTAAAATCACTTGCCCTGATAATTTTTCCACTATACCGGTCGATTTTCTTGTTGATTTCTTAAATAAACAGCATAATTAACATTGGAAAGTCAACTGGACACCGGTTACAACAGCATGATATACAAATTTGCTTGCCCGACAGAAAAAAACACTGGACTCGGACGTCGGGCAATGGGTTATTTCCACCCCTGAAGTGAATCATAACAGCTCTAGTATTTAGATATATACACACAATGAGTGACACTTGACACTTGTATGGAGTGAAAGGCCTGCTTGGTTGTGCAGGTATTTTCCAAGAACAAAAACCAGTATCATCTTTACTCTTTCCACACACTTTGCTTGAGAATGCTGATGTTAATACAGTGCTAGTATGACCCTACTTCAGAAAGTGATTTTTTTAATATAAATCCCAAATTTGTGCACAATAATGTAGCTGTCAATGGCATTTATAGTTTTGAATTTTAGATACAACCATATATTTGTCATACAGTCAGGCTTTTGTTAACTTACCTCTGCCAGAAGTCTGTTTGGGGATCCTGCAAGAAAGGAGGGTATACTGGTACATCATACCCATGGGTAAGAGTTCCTCCCGTTCCCCCATCCCAAATAATATTTATAAATTAATAGAAACTAAAATCATCAACAAAACCTAACATAACAATTACTAGAGAACTCACAAAAATAACTAAAAGCCCAAAACGTAATTGCAATGTATAGGGTCGAACGACGTTGTATGATAAGGGCCCCAGGCATGGTTATAGTTACAAAAAACATAGGGGGGAACGGAACGTTTTCCCGATGCCATCGATGGCGATAGGATGCAACAGGAGTGACGCCGGTTAAGTTCGGTGAGTGTGACAATAACGTAGTATCCTACCATATTGAGTTTGAGCCCTGAGCCATTGTCGATTTTGGATTGGTATGATTTCGGTGGTGAAAACCACTGTAATTCAGGCGGAAAGTCATCCGTGTCAAATTTAGTCGAGACGATTTTCTTCAGTACTGTAGGGCTCGCCATCTTGTGGTCATGTGACTAAACTGAGTGGTACAGATCACGTGATGTTATTTTTCTGTCATGTGATTTGGTACTTTCCACTCAGATCTGATGACGTACGAATTATATTTGCTAATCCAATTCTTATTAAGTTACAGTACGTCGTGATTGGCATGCTAAGTTCATTAACTGGACTTGTGTGTTCGCATATTTCATGCCTCAAATCACGAATAGATCAGATATGCTTGTAATTTTGCACCCATGACAGATGGCTTTTATCAGATGAACATAACAAAAACTTAGGCTGCAAATTACTGTTAGATGTTTATAAAAAATGGTCATAGATATAACCATACAAATCTACTCACGCATACAGTATAGACGAATAACAATGCCGCCCTATTCATTTATTGCTTCCAAGAACGCGACTTCTTCTTCTTCTTCTTTTATTTTTTGTGGGCTTGGAAGGAATCTTCTTCTTCTACTTGTAGTGTGGAAAATCACTCATGCTAATTATTCCCGGATGACCTGTCTATATATGTGTCCTCCCAAGGTTGTAACGCGAGACGTAGGTACAGTTGTACACGCAGTATGCTGGACTGGCCAAGGTCCACAACCAGGACACACGTCAGGTAATGTGATTGAGAATCACGACAGATTTCAAGTTGGGGTATTTATGGTGCTTTCTCTGAACATACACCCCATGATATCTGGAGATGGGGAATGACGGAGTCATTACTCGAGTATTAAGTTGGAAACAAGCATAGTTATGTATTCACGATCTTTAAAACACCTTTTCAACACAAGAGTCGTTCGGCACGACTAGTTTGTATCAAGGCGACTAAAAATTTGGAATAAAATGTCAATTATACCACTGGTTCTCATTTGACCAATAGACACCTGCACGACTTCACCAACCCCTGCACATGTATAGCACGCGCACGTGTTTTTTTAATTCGAAATGAACAAAAACGCCTGTACATAGCATGTGAGGCAAAACGTTTATATGTGTATGCGTAGGTATACACGTGACAGCCTGAAAGAACATAAAGGATAAAAATTAGAATATAACAAATATGATCTATACAAATCAGATCTGCTAATCTTGGAAGATTTTGGCGGTGGGGTTGCCAGATGGAATTCATCTCATTGTAGCCATGATCACCGCCATCACCAGTGTGTCCTGCATGGCAGTGTCAGCAAGACTAAGGACGTCTACAGACCCGTGCCAGTTATATTCGGACACTTGACGTCATTTCCATAGACTTGCATGTTATTTCAGTGTAGCATAAATAATCTTCATGAGGTGAGTTTACGATAGACCTTTGTAAAATTTGACAGGCAAATTTGAAATCATATCTGCTCTGCGCACATAATTTCAGTTCAATTTTCCGAGCACTATTTTTTTATGCATACTTTATAAGACAGTTATAAGGGTCAATAACGATATCAAGCAATGCTGTTTTTAAACTTGGCGGCAGATCTTCGTGTTCATTAGACGGTTCCATAATTACCACTTATAAGGACACTTTTCACATTCTATAAACGTATTGAGCGAAGGTGTTTCTAAAGTTACTCGTCGCATTTCTTATATAGAGGATGCCAGAAATATCAGATTGATATCTGTATAATAGCCGTGTTAAATATAATCACATGTTTGACGTACTGTGTGATAATACCTATTATCGACAGCACATAGGATAGAACAGCTTAGACGGTTCGTGTATACTGTCCCCCTATAGTGATTAAAGGATAGCATGTCAGGTAGCTGTTGAAATATTGACAAGGTTTCGTTCGTTTCCAGATATTAGCTACTGATATACTATACACCTCCTATGATTTTCAAATAATTAAGAAATACACTTCGCTCTACCATCATTTATAGTGTAATAAAACACACTTTTGCCCTGAACTATTATAGTTAAAGCACGAGGACGCTTGCGTCCTCGTGCTTTAACGTTATAATAGTTCAGGGCGAAAGTGTGTTTTATTACACTATACATGGTGGTAGGGCGAAGTGTATTTCTTTTCTAAGATGCCAAATTTAATACTTTCTAAAGATAATTACGATTCTAAGATGCCTAGCGGTTAGAACAATCGAAAAAAAATACATTATGAGACAATAAAGGTATAGTTTTTTGATGACGTAACAATTGAATGACGTTATCCCGTCACTGCGCCATTCTAGTGTGCCCCCTCGTAATCGAACCATTTTACATTACGTCACAATGTAAGCGACGTCACGATGCATGTCAGTTGTCATCGCCTCGTACGGCCTCCTACAGTAAACTACACCGTTGCATCCAGTTTCTTGGTTTGCTGTTGCTTCACGCAGCTAACTTCACTGGTGGAAACATTAAGTTTATGTTTTACGACGGTTAAAATGTGTCATTTCGACTCACAAGTTTTCAGCGACACGGTAACGTTCGTAATGTTTACATTCCCACAATGCAATTGTGGAATGTCGCTTGACTACTCAACTTCCTCTGGATGTACTGATCTAAACTGACGCTGGTAGTAGAAATGCAACGTTCATATTGCCCCATATGGTTTACGTTAATGACAGATGTAATTAAAATAATTCAGAGAAGATATTTAATCCGAACGTAAACCGTCATCAAACTGTTGTCATTTGTTTTTTTCTGGTAACGTTCGTCTTAACGTAGGGGGCAGACACATCAATAGAACAGCGCGCCAGTTAGCCCTGTGCGAGGATTCTTAATTTAGGTCACCAACACCGTCGTTTGTTTTCTGCCTTAAATAAACGTAATTATCTTTAGAAAGTATTAAATTTGGCATCTTAGAAAAGAAATACACTTCGCCCTACCACCATGTATAGTGTAATAAAACACACTTTCGCCCTGAACTATTATAACTATTATTTCTTAATTAATTTAAGGCAGAAATCCTCGCTGTCGCTGAAAACTTGTGAGTCGAAATGACACATTTTAACCGTCGTAAAACATAAACTTAATTTTTCCACCAGTGAAGTTAGCTGCGTGAAGCACCAGCAAACCAAGAAACTGGATGCAACGGTGTAGTTGACTGTAGGAGGCCGTACGAGGCGATGACAACTGACATGCATCGTGACGTCGCTTACATTGTAACGTAATGTAAAATGGTTCGATTACGAGGGGGCACACTAGAATGGTGCAGTGACGGGATAACGTCATTCAATTGTTACGTCATCAAAAAACTATACCTTTATTGTCTCATAATGTTTGTTTTTTTCGATTGTTCTAACCGCTAGGCATCTTAGAATTAAGAAATAAAGTTCGCTCTACCCCAATGTGTTTTGTAATAAAGTATAGTTTTGCCCTGAACTATTATAATTAAAGCACGAGGACGGTAGTCCGAGTGCTTTGATGTTATAATAGTTCAGGGCAAAACTATACTTTATTACAAAACACATTGGGGTAGAGCGAACTTTACATCTTTTCTAAGATGCTAAATTTAATACTTTCTAAGGATAATTACGATTAATTTAAGGCAGAAAACAAATGACGGTGTCGGTGACCTAAATTAAGAATCCTCGCACAGGGCTAACTGGTGCGCTGTTCTATTGATGTGGCTGCCCCCCTACGTTAAGACGAACGTTACCAGAAAAAACAAATGATAACAGTTTGATGACGGTTTACGTTCGGATTAAATATCTTCTCTGAATTATTTTAATTACATCTGTCATTAACGTAAACCATATGGGGCAATATCAACGTCGCATTTCTTCTACCAACGTAAGTTTAGATCAGTACATCCAGATGAAGCGGAGTAGTCAAGCGACATTCCACGATTGCATTGTGGGAATGTAAACATTGCGAACGTTACCGTGTCGCTGAAAACTTGTGAGTCGAATTGACACATTTTAACCGTCGTAAAACATAAACTTAATGTTTCCACCAGTGATGTTAGCTGCGTGAAGCAACTGCAAACCAAGAAACGGGATGCAACGGAGTAGTTTACTGTAGGAGGCCGTACGAGGCGATGACAACTGACATGCATCGTGACGTCACTTACATTGTGACGTTATGTAAGATAATTCGATTACGAGGGGGCACACTAGAATGGCGCAGTGACGGGATAACGTCATTCAATTGTTACGTCATCAAAAAACTATACCTTTATTGTCTCATAATGTTTGTTTTTTTCGATTGTTCTAACAGCTAGGCATCTTAGAATTAAGAGCAATCCTAGATTATAAGATTTCTTTTAGTATTGGATATTAGCTGTCTGTATTTCCTGAGGCTTTTGCCCATTGGTTATGTTTCAATGATATATAAGTAAGCCATTTTTCCATGTTAAATATCGCACAGTTTCTTAGTCGTGCTGCACAGTAATAGTCTATTTGAGTCAAAATCTCCCCAATGAATTGCACCCTAACTCAAAAATACATAATCGTAAATGACTCAAACCAACGCCAAAGTAAATAGGAGAAACACACCAACTCTGCAGAATTTTTGTTATAATTTTTGTCAACAAAATAAAAAAGTTGTTTAACAAATCGTCATTATTTTCATTCGATATTTCAAGATTTGTGACAAGGGTGAAGCGACAGCTCAGGTAACAGCCAGGTAAGCGAGAGGCACGTGCGGTATTGATTTCATCCGTAAGGGATGGTATCAAAAGTCATCACACTGTGATTCTGAATCGGACATGGACTCGCTGCTGTCAGATCATCAGAGAGCACTCGTATGATAACAGGACTAGGGTACATGTCTGTATACAGAAACGTACCTGGGGTACATATCTGTTGTACCCGAGCCAACAACGACCCCTTCAGCATTATTTACACACGCATCCACGTCGTCATATGAGCGAGATATTCTTAAGTAGCACGTCACACCCCACCTCACTTCAGGGACGCTATCGATACACAGTTCCTTTGTTTAGTTCTATTACTGATATAGCGTACCTTGCAGATGTGTTGCGACTGCTGGCTGTATTATGCGAAGGCTGGGCTGACACTACTGGATGGTCCATTTGGTTCATTCCCATTATGACTACTTCTAGTTCGACCACCCGTCCAATACACAACCTGTTCTAGTCTGTTCTAGTCGAGTGTTCCATCAGGTAGACTGTTCCACCAACACTTATAAGCAACAACGTTTATACACAACGATAATAACCTTTATACACTATTTAGTTACATATATCTGGACCATATGTCAAGATACAGAGATACAAAATATTGATACAATTATAAAAAGAACAAAAAATAGAGTGCATGTATCTTTCGGGAAATATTCCAATAGTTCAATCATAGAATACAGTATGGAACAAGTTTTTATGGATAACAACTTCTTTATTTCGTGAGTGCGACGTTTCGATACAGATTCTTGTACCGTTGTCAAGCAAGAGTGATACATGAAGTGGTGGAACTCTCAACACATCTGTATCGTAAACTCACAGTATCTCACCCCCAGCCACCTTATGCCAGAGCAACAGTCAAAATCCACAAGAACCCCGTTAAACTCGTCTACTAGTCTGTTCCCGTGACACTGTGTTCTACAGTACTGCCCAGCACCTTACCCAAGTACTCTCCCCGCTAGGTAAATCTGCCAACTCCTTCATCAATGATTCAACTGACATCTGCTGCAAGATCCGTGCAACCCAGGTCCCATCATCAGCTACGACGTTGTGGACCTATTCACCAATGTACCTCGGGAAGAAGCCCTTCAAGCACTACGCCACAGAATTGACAACCTCCAACAACCCCTCAACACTAGCCTCTCTACCGACTCCATCATCAGCCTCACCACCACCTGCATCAACTCCACCTACTTCACCTGGGGCGATGTCATCTATGAGCAAATCCACGGACTTCCCATGGGCTCCCCACTATCCCCCATCCTAACAGAAATTTACATGACCGACCTGGAAGATAAGGCCCTAGAAACTGCACCCTTCAAACCTTCCTGCTGGTACCGCAAAGTGGATGACACCTTCGTCATCCTCCAACCTCAGCAAGATCCAATTCAGCTTCTGGCCCATCTCAACAACCAACATCCCCGCATCAAATTCACCATTGAAACAGAGCAGAAGAATCAACTACCTTTCCTTGATGTCCTTGTATCCCGCACCTCCTGCAACCAACTCCAGACCTCCGTGTACAGAAAACCTACCCATACGGATCAATACATCCACTACAAACTCCAACCACCCCCTAAAGTCAAGACCGGCGTCATCTCTACATTGACCAGAAGAGCCAAAAATATTGCATCTGCTCAACAAACCTACAAACCTACAAGAAGAAATTGAACACCTAAGGAAAGTCTTTGTAGAACGCAACCGCTACCCACCAGAAATAGTCAACAGAACCATCGAAGCAACGCTTTCACCTCCTGCCAAAAGATCTAAACCAGAATCAGCCCCCATCAAGATATCCATTCCCTACATAGGTAAACCATCACATCAAATCAGCCGACTCCTGAAACAACAGGCAGGCATAGACACAACCTTCTCAGCGTCCTCCAGCCTCAACAACCTCCTTCATGCCAACGGAAGAAAACAACCCACCGTCAACAACCCGAAATGTGTTATTTATAAAATAAACTGTGATTGTGGACAAAGCTACATAGGTGAAACATCCCGACCCATCAACACCCGAGTCAAAGAACATCGCACCTCTGTTGCTAATTCCGACACCAAATCAGCTATCTCTGACCACATCAAAGCAAACCCAAATCATCAAATAGAGTGGTCCGACATCACCATTCTCGCCAACAACCAAACAGACTTCACTAAACGCAAGCTCACCGAAGCCATTCACATCAACGCCATAAGCCCACCATCAACCGTGACCAAGGATACTTCATTCCACCAGCTTATGATCCACTCCTCCACCAAGCCCAATCTATTGTATAAACATCGCACCTACATTGTATTATATAAACATCTCCTTCATTGTAACTACTCCTGTATTTATACATCTCTGGCTTCCATTCACTATCCTTTGTGTACTCACTGGCTTCATCAGCTTACTGCTTAACCAATTATGGCAATTATGTTGTTTCCTTTGTCAATTACAATGTATGTAGTTTCATTGTTATTCACAGTATATATATGCAGCTCCTCCACTTCATGTATCACTCATGCTTGACAACGGTACAAGAATCTGTATCGAAACGTCGCACTCACGAAATAAAGAAGTTGTTATCCATATAAACGTGTTCCATATTGTACGTCTCAACTTCTAAAAATGCACTCAAACAAGTCATAGAATACAGGCATGCTAGTATATGTTACAGGGAATATGTGAAACCAGGGATTTCGTGAAATCGCCGTGACCCCCGAGGAATTTCATGTATTCCCTAAAATTTCAAGGGATTTCATGAATTTACTGATTTTGATGGTGTTCCGTTATACACATCCCTTGTTACAATATTAGTGAATGTGTGAAATTAATGTTTGTAGCTTAAAACTTTACTGTTGCTCATTTTATCCCTCAGTTCTTAGGAGTTGAAAACTTTGACAATTTTCCGATGACACTTTTGGGTAATTACTACCTTGATTCGGGGTACCAAGCTTATTTTCTACATGTATAACGCATCTGCTTTGGAGTTATAAACCAGATTGGTGAAACCAGGGATAATCTACAACTGGTGAAACCCAAGCTGATAACACGTGGTCACGTGTCTTTATTGCCAATCACAAATCTACACAATGAATAAGTATGTATACAGAATATACACCACCAAGAGGGACACCAGCGTGTGGAATTGAACCCGGGTCTTTAGCGTGACGAGCGGACGCTTTAACCATTAGGCAAGCCAGTGATACCCTTATATAGTCTCCCTGGGCTAGCCCACCGCCCAAATCTTGCAGCAGTAGCAGATCTGATTTTAATGACATGTTATACTCATCAACTCATCTTGAACGACTGAATAATAAGTTAGTTCATTTATATCTAGATTAAATATCTTTTTGATTAAAAACTCTTTTTGGTGTTGCCAATAATCGACTGATTTCAAAAGAAAGAATATGAATGTAAGCATTAAATGGAACATTTACACAATGGGGTGTGATAAATGTGTAGCACAAGTTAAAACCATTTCGGTTTGTGCTTCACACATTGCGTTTGTTACTAAACCCGAATGGGGAATGGGGATAATGCGCTGATAAAAATAAAAATAACTGCAATCTTGGATAATTTTTGTTCTTGTTTCGTTTTCCCCACAACGAGTTTGTTGTACCTCTAAAAAAATGGTTTCGTGTTCAGACAGGTGATTAATACAGATTATGTAACTAAATTATACTACCTTGGTGCATAAAATGTGTAACAGTGTGCGCCAGCAGTGAAGCGTCAGCGCAGCGTACCGCGAAAACCAGGAGAAACAAAAATCAAAACTCTATGCAGTGTATAATATGAAATACGCTGTATGGAGCCACATTTTCTAATATTTTCATTGGTTACTGATAAGGAAGCTTGCACATGACATTTGTGTACAAAATAAAGAGGGGAGGACACTCGCATCTGAGCATGCCAGCGAAGTTGTTGTTTATTGCAGTGAGTATATGTTATTTAAGGAGCTAGTACAACCAAATATGGTTGTTATAGGTGCCTCAAATGTTCAGGAAAATCTTTCATATCGATATATGATATCGAGCGGTGTGTCGAATCAACTTCGATCAAAAGTCCAGCATTAAAGTGTTTTGAGCTAGAAACGAACGTCGAAACACTGTGTTGTCAGTGATTGGAATCCTATTATATTATTCAAAGACAATGGAATGGTCAACTGTATAGTGACCCAAACTAAGATGACAGTGTCAAGTGTTTCCTTTTTAAGCTGTACATAATTGTCTTCTGGCAACTAAGTAATGTATCTTATTCATTCTTTTGTATCTAATCATATTCTGTGTAAGAAGTAATGTCGATTGATAGATTATATTATTGTGTACTTTTGAAAAGGAATGACTGATTAAGTCCCCTGGTATTTTTGTCAAATCCTGCAGAATGTCAGTAAAGCATGTCTGAATCAATCAAACTGGTGCCTTAATGCCTGTAAGTGATGTAGGTGTCCTTTGTTAGATGCAGCTACATTGGTTGTACAACTACAAGTCACTGATGATGCAGCTACAATGTTGTACAAGTCACTGATGATGCAGCTACAATGTTGTACAAGTCACTGATGATGCAGCTACAGTGTTGTACAACTACAAGTCACTGATGATGCAGCTACAATGTTGTACAAGCCACTGATGATGCAGTTACAATCTTGTACAAGTCACTGATGATGCAACTACAATGTTGTACAAGTCACTGATGATGCAGCTACAATGTTGTACAAGTCACTGATGATGCAGCTACAATCTTGTACAAGTCACTGATGATGCAGCTACAATCTTGTACAAGTCACTGATGATGCAGCTACAAGCTTGTACAAGTCACTGATGATGCAGCTACAATGTTGTACAAGTCACTGATGATGCAGCTACAATGTTGTACAAGTCACTGATGATGCAGCTACAATCTTGTACAAGTCACTGATGATGCAGCTACAATGTTGTACAAGTCACTGATGATGCAGTTACAATCTTGTACAACTACAAATCACTGATGATGCAACTATACAATGTTGTACAAGTCACTGATGATGCAGTGAAAATGTTGTACAAGTCACTGATGATGCAGCTACAATGTTGTACAAGTCACTGATGATGCAGCTACAATGTTGTACAAGTCACTGATGATGCAGCTACAATGTTGTACAAGTCACTGATGATGCAGCTACAATCTTGTACAAGTCACTGATGATGCAGCTACAATCTTGTACAAGTCACTGATGATGCAGCTACAATGTTGTACAAGTCACTGATGATGCAGTTACAATCTTGTACAACTACAAGTCACTGATGATGGAGCTACAATCTTGTACAACTACAAGTCACTGATGATGCAACTATACAATCTTGTACAAGTCACTGATGATGCAGCCACAATCTTGTACAAGTCACTGATGATGCAGTTACAATCTTGTACAACTACAAATCACTGATGATGCAACTATACAATGTTGTACAAGTCACTGATGATGCAGTTACAATGTTGTACAAGTCACTGATGATGCAGCTACAATGTTGTACAAGTCACTGAAGATGCAGCTACAATGTTGTACAAGTCACTGATGATGCAGCTACAATGTTGTACAAGTCACTGATGATGCAGCTACAATGTTGTACAAGTCACTGATGATGCAGCTACAATGTTGTACAAGTCACTGATGATGCAGTTACAATCTTGTACAACTACAAGTCACTGATGATGCAGCTGCAATCTCGACAACTACAAGTCACTGATGATGCAACTATACAATCTTGTTCAACTACAAGTCACTGATGATGCAACTATACAATCTTGTACAACTACAAGTCACTGATGATGCAACTATACAATCTTGTACAAGTCACTGATTATGCAGCTACAATCTTGTACAACTACAAGTCACTGATGATGCAACTATACAATCTTGTACAATTACAAGTCACTGATGATGCAACTATACAATCTTGTACAAGTCACTGATGATGCAACTATACAATCTTGTACAAGTCACTGATGATGCAACTATACAATCTTGTACAACTACAAGTCACTGATGATGCAACTATACAATCTTGTACAACTACAAGTCACTGATGATGCAACTATACAATGTCGTACAACTACAAGACACTGATGATGCAACTATACAATCTTGTACAACTACAAGTCACTGATGATGCAACTATACAATCTTGTTCAAGTCACTGATGATGCAGCTACAATCTTGTACAACTACAAGTCACTGATGATGCAACTATACAATCTTGTACAATTACAAGACACTGATGATGCAACTATACAATCTTGTACAACTACAAGTCACTGATAATGCAACTATACAATCTTGTACAAGTCACTGATGATGCAACTATACAATCTTGTACAACTACAAGTCACTGATGATGCAACTATACAATCTTGTACAACTACAAGTCACTGATGATGCAACTATACAATCTTGTACAAGTCACTGATGATGCAACTATACAATCTTGTACAACTACAAGTCACTGATGATGCAACTATACAATCTTGTACAACTACAAGTCACTGATGATGCAACTATACAATCTTGTACAACTACAAGTCACTGATGATGCAACTATACAATCTTGTACAACTACAAGACACTGATGATGCAACTATACAATCTTGTACAACTACAAGTCACTGATGATGCAACTATACAATGTTGACAACTACAAGAGACACTGATGATGCAACTATACAATGTTGTACAAGTCACTGATGATGCAGCTACAATCTTGTACAAGTCACTGATGATGCAGCTACAATCTTACAAGTCACTGATGATGCAGCTACAATCGCATGTACAAGTCACTGATGATGCAACTACAATGTTGTACAACTACAAGTCACTGATGATGCAGCTATACAATCTTGTACAACCTACAAGTCACTGATGATGCAACTATACAATCTTGTACAAGTCACTGATGATGCACTATACAATGATGCAGAGACACTGATGATGCAATCTTGTACAACTACAAGTCACTGATGATGCAACTATACAATCTTGTTCAAGTCACTGATGATGCAGCTATACAATCTTGTACAACTACAAGTCACTGATGATGCAACTATACAATCTTGTACAATTACAAGACACTGATGATGCAACTATACAATCTTGTACAACTACAAGTCACTGATGATGCAACTATACAATCTTGTACAAGTCACTGATGATGCAACTACAATCTTGTACAACTACAAGACACTGATGATGCAACTATACAATCTTGTACAGCTACAAGTCACTGATGATGCAACTATACAATCTTGTACAAGTCACTGATGATGCAACTATACAATCTTGTCAACTGACACTGATGATGCAACTATACAATCTTGTACAACTACAAGTCACTGATGATGCAACTATACAATGTTGTACAAATTACAAGACACTGATGATGCAACTATACAATCTTGTACAACTACAAGTCACTGATGATGCAACTATACAATCTTGTACAAGTCACTGATGATGCAGCTACAATCTTGTACAACTACAAGTCACTGATGATGCAACTATACAATCTTGTACAACTACAAGTCACTGATGATGCAACTATACAATCTTGTACAACTACAAGTCACTGATGATGCAACTATACAATCTTGTACAACTACAAGTCACTGATGATGCAACTATACAATCTTGTACAACTACAAGTCACTGATGATGCAACTATACAATCTTGTACAATTACAAGTCACTGATGATGCAACTATACAATCTTGTACAACTACAAGTCACTGATGATGCAACTATACAATCTTGTACAACTACAAGTCACTGATGATGCAACTATACAATCTTGTACAAGTCACTGATGATGCAACTATACAATCTTGTACAACTACAAGACACTGATGATGCAACTATACAATCTTGTACAACTACAAGTCACTGATGATGCAACTATACAATCTTGTACAACTACAAGACACTGATGATGCAACTATACAATCTTGTACAACTACAAGTCACTGATGAAGCAACTATACAATCTTGTTCAAGTCACTGATGATGCAGCTACAATGTTGTACAACTACAAGTCACTGATGATGCAACTATACAATCTTGTACAATTACAAGACACTGATGATGCAACTATACAATCTTGTACAACTACAAGACACTGATGATGCAACTATACAATCTTGTACAACTACAAGTCACTGATGATGCAACTATACAATGTCGTACAACTACAAGACACTGATGATGCAACTATACAATGTTGTACAACTACAAGACACTGTTAGTGTTGCTACAATATTGTACACCTACAAATCGTGATGTTGCAGGTTCTGTGTGTGGTGTGGGGGAGCCAGGTCTGTGTATACCTACACTGGTGATGTTGCAGGTCCTGTGTGTGGTGTGGGGGAGCCAGGTCTGTGTATACCCACACTGGTGATGTTGCAGGTTCTGTGTGTGGTGTGGGGGAGCCAGGTCTGTGTATACCTACACTGGTGATGTTGCAGGTTCTGTGTGTGGTGTGGGGGAGCCAGGTCTGTGTACACCTACACTGGTGATGTTGCAGGTTCTGTGTGTGGTGTGGGGGAGCCAGGACTGTGTATACCTACACTGGTGATGTTGCAGGTTCTGTGTGTGGTGTGGGGGAGCCAGGTCTGTGTATACCTACACTGGTGATGTTGCAGGTTCTGTGTGTGGTGTGGGGGAGCCAGGTCTGTGTTGGATTGACCTTGGACACGGCTGACCAATCAACCAACACTTCACATGTCAAGAGACTTCACCTCATCTTTATGAACCATCTTGGTGTGTACAGTTTACAAGTAACCATGGAAACAGGAAGATTCACTAACTAACAATTTCACAAAGCTAAGAAATATATGTCGAACTGTCAGGAACTTCTGGTAAACAAAAGCAAAAGTGGTAAACATCGGAGTCCTGCATCACTTCTGCCTGTCCACAAACATTACGAGTCTGTGATATAACTGGAATATTGTTCAATGTGGCGTTGAACCAAACTCACTCACTCTCTCTTTCACTTCAGATGTTGGTTACAATGGTATTTTTCCCACACTTGGTTTTGTCAACAATGTCATCAACCGGTACTTTTACGGTGTATTTTCCCCGAGCAGTCAACATATCACAGCAGCTACGTTCAGATGGATACATGGAGAGACTTGTGTACACCACCCACCCCTGGCTGGTCAGTCTCTATCTGGACTGTCCCCCCAACTTGAACCTGTCTGGAATTGTACTGCAGGTACGTACGTATTCCACAGACTCCAATACACTTACCACTTGATTTGAACCTGTCGGGAAATTTACTGCAGCAAATATCAATTTGTGTTAGATATATAACCAACAATTATATTTGTGGCTTTGTTGACGGAACATCATTTCACTGATCACAGGATCAGAGGAGAGGAAGGGGATTAAATGCTCAGTTGTCTATAACTGTATTGAAGGCAGTTTCAAATTACAATCTTAAAATACCTCTGTATTGTAATGAATATGAAGTAAATTCTAATTTTGAACAAAATTATTTAATTCAAACTTGGGCAAAAGTAGGCATTGTCAAAAATTCTTTTCAAATTATTTACGTTAACTTAACAGCACTTTTATAAACAAATGTCTTTCCAGAAGTATTTTGAGTACGTTTCAAAGGCTAGCAAATCTATTCTTTTGCTACAATGATTTGGGGAGCCTGAATGGTATCAAGAGTTTACATCAAGGGTAATCATGCTAATAGTTAATCCAAATGTGGATAGGGATATCTGTAGCTGTACATGCTATCCTGTCTGTTGAGTTGGAGTCTGGTTCAGTTATAACCTCACCATTAATATAACATGGGCTTTGAATAGTCAGTGGACTATGCATTTTTGAATATGCTTGTGTTGGTCCTATGAGAACTGAATACATGGCCAGAATATGCTTGTGTTGGTCCTATGAGAACTGAATACATGGCCAGAATATGCTTGTGTTGGTCCTATGAGAACTGAATACATGGCCAGAATATGCATGTGTTGGTCCTATGAGAACTGAATACATGGCCAGAATATGCTTGTGTTGGTCCTATGAGAACTGAACACATGGCCAGAATATGCTTGTGTTGGTCCTATGAGAACTGAATACATGGCCAGAATATGCTCACAAAAAGATAACCTTTTATGTTGTGTGCAACCATTGAGTGATGTTCAAGGTTTGATTCCAGTCTGACAGTTGTAAACTCCAGGACACCATTGGTCATAGTTTCTGCCTTCCTTTCAGTGCCCTGGTAAAGAGGCTGTGTCAGAGTTCGTAGCGGCAGCTCGGCGGGGAGACATCAGCTGGCATGCTGGACCAATGAACATGCAGTTTGAGATGCTGGACCCTGCTTTGGTGGAGTTTGGGCTTCAGCTAGGGCAGGACTTGGATAAACGTCTTGGCATCATCAGGAAGTACCGCACACTCAGTCAGAGGGATGTGCCAGGTGGGTGGTTGTCACCTGAAATGATTACCGTAGTTACCTCTTAACTACCTTTTCCAACCTGACTTTGTCTACCCCACTTCAGACCCGTGAAGGTACGGGTTGGAATATTGATCTTCAGTAACCCATGCTTGTTGTAAGAGGCGACTAACGGGATCGGGTGGTCAGTCTCGCCGACTTGGTTGACGCATGTCATCGGTTCCCAATTGTGCAGATCAATGCTCATGCTGTCCAAGATATTTTTATAGATTAAACTTCTTCTTTTTATTTCCCTCACGACGTTTCGCGACCATTCCAGGTCCCTTCATCAGGTGAACAGCCCACCCTTCCAACCCCGGTGGGCTGAGTCTGGAGTTCACCTGATGAAGGGACCTGGCATGGTCGCTAAAACGTCGTGAGGGAAATAAAAACATAGAAGTTTAATCCATAAAAATATCTTGGACATCTATGTACAACTTCTAAATGCCAATCAAAGACATAATGCTCATGCTGTTGATCACTGGATTGTATGGTTCAGACTCGATTATTTACAGACCGCCGCCATATAGCTGGAATATTGCTGAGTGCGGCATAAAACAAAACTCACGCACTCACTCATCCAACAACACCCCACCCCATCCATCCCATAACACCCCACTTTATCCAGCAACACCCCTGGCTCGTCACGCCGAAGACCCGGGTTCGATTCCCCACATGGGCACAATGTGTTAAGCCCATTTCTTGTGTCCCCTTTATCGTGCATATTGCCACCCCATAAATATTGCTAAACACCGGCGTCCAAACTAAACACCCAGTCAGTCAGTCAGCAACACCCCACTTTATCCAACAACACCCCACCTCATCTGTCCCATAACACCCCACTTTATCCAGCAACACCCCACCTCATCCATCCCATAACACCCCACTTTATCCAACAACACCCAACCTCATCCGTCCCATAACACCCCACTTTATCCAACAATCCAACAACACCCAACCTCATCCGTCCCATCCGTCCCATAACACCCCACTTTATCCAGCAACACCCCACCTCATCCATCCCATAACACCCCACTTTATCCAACAACACCCAACCTCATCCGTCCCATAACACGTCCCAACAACACCCCCTCTTTTATCCAACAACACCCGTCACCTCATCCCCACTCCCCATAACACCCCACTTTATCCAGCAACACCCCACCTCATCCATCCGATAACACCCAACTTCATCACATAACATCCCAACCAATCTGGTTTGAAAGTGATATTCGAACATAAACCCTGAGATATAGGAGATCGTTGTTCCCATCACAAGGGTCCCGACAGTCTCTCCGCATGCTCAAAGAGTTTATAGGTATTTGCAAACCACACTCTTTATGTGCTGACCTTACTAAGTGAATTCAGGTCTAACCCAGAGTGTGCAGACCTCGCTAAGTGAATTCAGGTTTAAACCAGTGTGTGCAGACCTCACTCCGTATTTTGAAGACCTCTGTAAGTGTCCAGGGCTAACCCAGTGTGTGCAGATCTCTGCTCTGTATTTTGCAGACTTCGCTAGGTGTCCAGGTCTAAACCAGAGTGTGCCATCCTCACTTTGTGTTAAGCAGACCTTGTTAAGTGTCTTCAGGTCAAACCACAGAGTGTGCAGACCTCACTCTGTATTTTGCAGACTTTGCTAGGTGTCCCCAGGTCTAACCTAGTGTGTGCAGACCTAACTCTGCATTTTGCAGACTTCGCTAGGTGCCCTCAGGTCTAGCCAAGTGTGTGCAAACCTAACTCTGTAATTTGCAGGTATGACCCAAGCCTTGCTGCCTCTCTTCGTGAAGTATGGAGTAGCTGGGGTATCCGTGGGGGTCAACCCCATGACAGCTCCTCCCGTGGTCCCCAAGATCTTCCGGTGGGAGTTCCAGGGTGCAAGTGTCATTGGCATGTGGAACCCGTGTGAGTCCCTTATCCGTCAACACCAGTATCAAAGTTCATTATGTTAAGCATTTAATTTTCATAAGGTTTCTCATAAATGTTATACATTTTCATTAATGATAGAATCATATTAATGGCTGACATTATCTTAAACAATAAAACATAGAAACTGAAACACACTTTTCTTAAACCATATTTAATGTTTTTTTGTATAATACCTCCAACAAGTAAATTTGGAAACATGGCAGAGTGTAGCATACAGTTAACTCATTAACATGATTTCTTTTTTGCTCTTTGTACTCATTTCTTTGTTTTTTTATGATACACAAAGAGTCTGTTAATCTGATTATCTCAATGTTTCAGTCGGCTACCCACAGAACCCAGGTCCAAACCCCGCCAACCCCGGTGGGCTGTCAGCTGATAACTGTGTCATATTCCCCGGGCTGGCTGACGCCATGTGCTTCGCTTTCCGCACCGACAATTCAGGACCTCCAGAATCGGTGGAGGTGAATCTTAAAAGTTGTTTTTTCTTTATTACATGGTTAATGGATCACAAGGTGTCTTTTCAGTCATATGAGATTTTTTTAATTCAGAACTAAAAACTGTTCATATTGCACCAAAATGATAATATTTTAATAGAATGATTTAATAAAACACAAGCTTCCAAAAGTTAAGTTTTTTTTTATCAAAATCTTTGTGATGTTTCTTACTCAAGACAGAATCACTGAACAATGGCTATTGTCATGATATGGACTTGTAGACATATGTAGACATACTTGTAGACATATGGTAAATTCTGCAGTTTGCAACTGTCATGAAGAACGTTTAACCACCAGTACAGGGGACAGTTTAGGTTTGCTGTTTCTGCTACATTTGGATATTGCTTTTCTAGGAAGTGTTATCCAACTTTGAAATTTCACGGACAATCTTCCCAAATGCTGAAGTCCAGGGCTCAACGTTTGAGGCATTTGTAGAAGCTGCACAGAGTGTCAAGGCCAAACTTCCTGTGGTTACCAAGGAGATCGGCGACACCTGGATACAGGGAGCTGGGTCTGACCCACGGAAAGTAGCTGAAATGAGAGCTTTCTTGCGGGCACGTGCAAAATGTCTGGAAGCAAAAGGTAAAGTTCCCAAGAAGAATGTCTTGTATGTCTTGTAACTGGTAGCCTTTTAATCCTAGATGGAGATGAAGCTTTAGATGTTTTTTGCAACCAATAATAGAGGTTGACCAGCCATTTTGCATTGTGAAAACTTGATGACTGATGGTCAGCCACTTCTCAGAATATTCTATCATGCTCTTACTTACTTCTCTGAAATTGCTGAGGAAGCTAAGCTTTGTTCTGCCTTATGACGAGATCTTATTTTGTTCAAATCAGATGGACTTGACTGTGTTTAGTGAAACAATTGTTAGATGGCAGACTATCTGTGCTGGCTGTCCTATGTGCCTGTTCGCTGTCCCTGCCTGAAGCAGTGTGGTCAGAACTTCGTCAATCTATGAACTGTCAGTATCACAACTCCAACTATCTACGCCACTGTGTTGCAGTGTGTTCGCTATGTTGCAGTGTGTTCAATGTGACTGTCGTGTTCGCTCTCTGCCTTCTACAACTCCAGCAGTTGTAGTCAGAACTATCAGTGTTTGGAGTATGTATGTCAATGTGACTATGTTGCAGTGTGTTCGCTGTCCGACCCTGCCTTCTACAACTCCAGCAATTGTAGTCAGAACTATGTCAATGTGACTGTCCTATGTTGCAGTGTGCTCGCTGTCCGACCCTGCCTTCTACAACTCCAGCAGTTGTAGTCAGAACTATGTCAATGTGACTGTGTTTGGAGTAGAACTATGTCAATGTGACTATGTTACAGTGTGTTCGCTGTCCGACCCTGCCTTCTACAACTCCAGCAGTTGTAGTCAGAACTATGTCAATGTGACTGTCCTATGTTGCAGTGTGTTCTGTTGCAGTGTGTTCGCTGTCCGACCCTGCCTTCTACAACTCCAGCAGATTCCTCCTCAAGCTGGGGGAACACACATGTGGGCTTAGCAGCGTCTTTGACCAGTTCAACTGGACAAATGTCCGATTTATTAATGCCATGAAACACAAAGGTAGTTATGCCACCAATAATAGCCTGTTACTACGGTAATCAGGAACTACTTTTACAAAACTCAGTTAGCCATTTTGTTTGATTTTGGAAATGGAACTGTATGCATAATCTGTGCTAGAGTGCAAACTTTTTTTTCTAAGAGAAAGTGGACCTTTCATGTTCCAAGTATTAATGCTAGCTTCTAGTTTGTTTAAAAGGATTATATTTTCGACCAAATTTCAGACCTTGACAATCCATCACACCTATGTCTACTGACAAATAACTGTTCACATTACTGATACTGTTGGGGGTGGGGGTGGGTAGCCTAGTGGTTAAAGCATTCGCTTGTCTTGCCAAAGGACCGGGTTTGATTCCCCACATCGGTACAATGTGTGAAGCCCATTTCTGGTGTTCCCTGCCGTGATATTGCTGGAATATTGCTAAAAGTTGTGTAAAACTACACTCACTCACTGACACTGTGATATTGTGATGGCAACATGTCAAGGTCCTTTTGTCACAATACAAATATTTAGCTCATGTGACTGAAAGTGGCCCCAAATTTGTACAGTTGTCCAGCTGTCATTAACTTTACATTTATGACATCTCCTCTGAATCTTCAAGGTCTATGAAGCTGTATCAAAGACCTCAGCCATTGTGTCTCTAAAGTGTACTCACAGATTTCTGACCTGATGTATGTCAGACAATGCTTATTTCTAGGGTAGAATTTGAATACAACATAATGGTTAATGACCAGAGATGACAAGGGCAGAATTAAGTCCATACCACACAGCTGACATCTTGACATGTCCTTCACCTTCAGACCAACATCTCCTAGACGGTGTCTCGTCATGGGTGGAACAGCGGCAGTTTGCGTACACAGCTCTAGACACACTTGATGTGCACCCCCTCAAAGCCGAAGTGAAGATGGAGTGGGACATGCTGAAGGCTAGCAAGCCTGACCTGTCAGGTATAGTGAGAGTAGGGGAGGTAAGCAGGCCTGACCTGGCAGGTATAGTGAGAGTAGGGGAGGTAAGCAGGCCTGATCTGGCAGGTATAGTGAGAGTAGGGGAGGTAAGCAGGCCTGACTATAGTGAGAGTAGGGGAGGTAAGCAGGCCTGACCTGGCAGGTATAGTGAGAGTAGGGGAGGTAAGCAGGCCTGACCTGGCAGGTATAGTGAGAGTAGGGGAGGTAAGCAGGCCTGACCTGGCAGGTATAGTGAGAGTAGGGGAGGTAAGCAGGCCTGACCTGGCAGGTATAGTGAAAGTAGGGGGTGTAAGCAGACCTGACCTTGTAGGTATAGTGAGAGTAGGGAGGTAAGCAGGCCTGACCTGGCAGGTATAGTGAGAGTAGGGGGAGGTGGCAGGGCCTGATCTGACGGGTATAGTGAGGTAAGGGGAGGTAAGCAGGCCTGATCTGGCGGGTATAGTGAGGAGTAGGGGAGGTAAGCAGGCCTGACCTGGCAGGTTTAGTGAGAGTAGGGGAGGTAAGCAGGCCTGATCTGACAGGTATAGTGAGAGTAGGGGAGGTAAGCAGGCCTGATCTGGCAGGTATAGTGAGAGTAGGGGAGGTAAGCAGGCCTGACCTGGCAGGTATAGTGAGAGTAGGGGAGGTAAGCAGGCCTGACCTGGCAGGTATAGTGAGAGCAGGGGAGGTAAGCAGGCCTGATCTGGCAGGTATAGTGAGAGTAGGGGAGGTAAGCAGGCCTGACCTGGTAGGTATAGTGAGAGTAGGGGAGGTAAGCAGGCCCTGACCTGGTAGGTATAGTGAGAGTAGGGGAGGTAAGCAGGCCTGACCTGGCAGGTATAGTGAGAGTAGGGGAGGTAAGCAGGCCTGACCTGGTAGGTATAGTGAGAGTAGGGGAGGTAATCAGGCCTGACCTGGCAGGTATAGTGAGAGTAGGGGAGGTAAGCAGGCCTGATCTGACAGATATAGTGAGAGTAGGGGATGGTAAGCAGGGCTGACCTGGCAGGTATAGTTGGAGTAAGGGGAAGAGCTTCAAGTTTGAATGGAGTGTGCGGTTTTGTTTCTCCAGGCTACAACATGCTGTCTGACCCTACATCTGTACAGAGTTGTGGGAAGGGCTTCAAGTTCGGGTTCAGGGGTGATGGAGCACTCAGCACACTCTCAGACCCCTACACCAAGGTGAGTGTATGGAAGGTGCTGTGACCAGGAACTATGATCCATCTGTTGCCATGGAAGAAATACAGATTTGATCCAAATATTTTGAGCTAAGCCAAATACTGTGTTCCTCAAGACTTATCATTATATATCATTTCCTAATACCATGTAGTTGCAGTGGAAACGGCAATCAACATTTGAAAAATTAACTTGGGAAAGAATTAAATCATTCTTGAGGTCCTTTAAACTTTCAATAAATCAATATACACTTTCATCGTTTATCTGTCCATCTTATTCACAGATGAACTGGGCCAGCAAGACCAACCCCTTGGGACAGTTTGTGTATCAGACATATAACCAGACAGACTTTGACAACTTCTTAGCGCAACGTACCAGCCAACTGTGTCTTGGCTGGGTATCGGGAAGCCGAACATGACCAACAACTCGGACGCTGAAAGTCGAGTGTGGCCGACACAACTGGTGGAAGTCTACAGGATTGCAGGTAGCTCACTGAAATCATTATCAACGGGATACGAACAGGCTCTCTGATGTATCAATATAATGTGAGAATTGTATGGTTAGATTCACCATTAAAACAAGTATAGGTAAAAAACCCTCTTATTAATATTACCTACATTATACATTATACATTTTACCATTATAACCTAACTGCATTTAGCATCCCTTACCCACTTCTGGACCAACCAGCAGTAAATCTAATGAGACCCCCATACCAAGCCTAGAAATCCCAGTGTTTTGTTTTGTTCCCGTGTAGACTGTTGTGCATATCATATCCCCAAAGCAAACATGTCACTTGTTACCATTGGCTACTGAACACTGAATATAACAGGGTGTATCCTGTCATGCGAAAATAACATGTTAGTCGATATCAAAGAATGTCAGAACTGTTCCAAATGTGAAAACTGTACTCATTGATAAACCAAACACTGCCTCTCAATGTATTTGTTCTTTTCATTTTAAGAAGAAAAATAAATATAACTGCAGACATTAATAACCGTGTTTCATTACCTGTTATCCCATAGTGTTGTAGAGTCATCACCATTTGTACAAATTGTATTGCTCCTGATAGTAAGTTTATCTTGCTGTGTACAGTTTCAGTAAATTCCCACTGTAACATTTGTGTAATTCATATCATTACAGGACTCTGTTGGCTACATGATAACATCTAGTTGTTTAGTTACAGATTAAACCTAGTTTCTAGTTCACATTCCTTTATCGGAACATGTGTAAAGTACATGTTAACATCCCGTTCTTATGTTGAATGCCCTTAATGTGTCACCAAACAGATAGGCAGCATTCCCCAGGATTTTCCTTAATGGTGTCAACAATCTACCCTCATCAAATGGTTTTGTTATCATGAATTCAGGGGATGTGAACTTGTCCATCATGTTGAATCATCAGCATCCTCAAAAGTGTCAGGTTTATACTTCTCCAGAATATATGGATGGATTTAGCTTGAAGTGCATATTCAATGCATCAAAATTTTAATATGGCCACCATAACAGCCATTCTGCATCCCTGAACCTGACAAGAAGACAATCAACTTGAAGGAATTGAAGTTTAAACATTAATGTCTCTCTTCACAGTGACATTTTATTCAAATCATCATAATGTTTAGTCCTCCCTTTGTATGCAGGAAACAAGTATAATATCAATGTTAACAGTGTCTATGTTTGTTGCATTAAGTGAGCTTCAGTACCTTTGCACTACTTTTATGTTGAGTGTATGTATTGTGTAATTCTCTCTGAAATGACTGTCAAAGGGGGATAACGCTACATATTTATCCCAATGCCATTCAAACTGTGCAAATGCTTGAAGTTTGCGAGTGGTCAACATATTGTACTTTTTTTCCGTCAGGAAGTGATTGTCGTTTCCATGTCCTCTTGCGGATGTCACAATTGAAGGCCATCGAGTATTACGGAGCCCCAATGGATGTATGGGTGTCCTATGTGACAATGGACGATGTGCAACCTCCAGGTGAGGCCACCTAGGGTAATAGTTTGATGTCAAGAGATAATAATTTTTCAGGATATATTGATTCACTTGTCACTATTGATCTTGCAGCTGACTTTTTAGTTTAAAAATAAGTAAACTGCTTGTCCATCATTATACATTATAAACAGCATCTCCTACTGGACCACTAGACCAGTGAATGAGTGAGTGAGTGTACTTTTAAGCCGCCCTCAGCAATATTCCAGCTATATGGCAGCGGTATGTAAATAATCGAGTCTGGACCAAACATCTAGTGATCAACAGCATGAGCATAGATCGACGCAACTGGGATATGATGACATGTGTCAACCAAGTCAGCAAACCTGACCACCTGATCCCATTAGTCGACTCTTACGACAAGCTTGGGTTGTTGAAGACTAATTCTAACCCAGTGAAGCTGTCATTGACAAACATGACTGTTCCCACCGATGATTCACCTCAGGCTGTTTGTTGGAGAGGTTTAAGGGACATTGTTGCATCTGTTGTGGATTACCTCATCAGTTTTATTTAATGTTAAAGTCTTTGGATGAATCTGGACGCACGACATGGGCATCTCATGTCAAGAATATTTTATTTGGATTTGGGTTTGGCTTTGTTTGGATTTCACAGGATTTTGGAGTATGGATGGTTTCCTTTCTGTTTTTAGGCAGAAATTGACTGATCTTTCACAAGATTGGTACTCATCCCTACATAATACAACGAAGTGTTGTAATTATATACTTTTCAAGTCCCTCATAAATGTTGAAACTTATCTCAGTTTTATATTGCCCCATATTTAGAAATTGTTTGACAAAATTTAGATGTGGTAATTTTAAACTTAGTTCTGAGACTGGTAGATATAACTATGTCCCTTGATTCAAGATTTTGTCCTTCTTGCAAAAACATGAATCTTGATTTAATTGAAGATGAAATGCATGTTTTACTTTATTGTAAAGCCTACCTAGATATATGGAATACATTTCTGGATAAATATTTGAAACACCCTCTATCACAATACAGATTTGTCAACATAATGTCTTTAACAAACATAAATGTTATAAATAATTTATGCCTATTTTTTGTATAATGTAGGGAAAATAAAAAAATCTGTATTTTTTCTATAAAACCCATGTAACTTCATGCAAAATATAAATATCTATGAATGTATTTTGAGCCAGTGGCCTATTACTGAATGTTTGTCTGTCTGTCTGATAGTGGAGCTGTGCATGTTGATGTTTTTCGCAATATTTTTAGTTTTTACCTGTTGCACTGGACCAATGTGATTTCAATATGGTTGCCTCAGGAGCTATATATTTAACAATGTTGGCCAATAGTCGCCCATGTTTATACATATGTTATTAAAAATGTTATTAACAACTGTGACATTGTTTTTTCCATGCTCTTGTGTTCTCTCAAAGAGAGCAGATGAACTGTAGCCTGCATGTTTATGATCACATTATATATATATCTTCATATATTCCTGACATCTTTAGAAAATAGAGTTACTTCTTAGTTCTTATTTCTGTAGAAAATCTTGGTAAGTGACCATCTTTGCAGATGCTTTAAACATTTGTCCACATATCCAGATGTCGTGACACAATGTTTCAGCAGATATTGTGCAGTCATAAATCATAGGACATCAGCAAGTACACGTCCTGGACAGACATATTAGGGTTTTTAAAGAAGAAGCATTTTAACTGACATACTTATTTTAAGGGGTTTTGCTAATGAGGCAAGTAATTCCTTCCCATACCAGGTTTGTCTGTCGACGTGCAGTGGTTTGATAAGATTCCCACTCGGCTGCCAGAAGCGCTGTTCTTCACATTCCAGCCGGTCAAACAGGAGACCTACAGCTGGCAGCTGCATAAGCTGGGGCAGATCATAGACCCTCTCAACGTCGTGCTCAACGGCAGCCAGAGACAACATGGTGAGTCATAGTGACAGCTTAGTGGGTCACGGTGATAGTCAGAGACATGGTGAGTCATAGTGACAGCTTAGTGGGTCAGAGTGATGAGTCAGAGAGACATGGTGAGTCATAGTGACAGCTTAGTGGGTCACGGTGATAGTCAGAGACATGGTGAGTCATAGTGACAGTGAGAAACAACTTAGTGGGTCACGGTGATAGTCAGAGACATGGTGAGTCATAGTGACAGTGAGAAACAACTTAGTGGGTCACGGTGATAGTCAGAGACATGGTGAGTCATAGTGACACTGACAGACAACAGGGTGAGTCACAGTGACACAGATAATAAGGTAAGTCACAGTGCACGTAGATAATATGGTGAGTCAGTCACAGTGATAGAAACACTGACAGCATGTTTCACTATATAATTGTATAACTGTGTAGCTGTCTAATGGATTGATTGTTTGTTCAGATATGATATCTTATTTTGGACTTACAATTTAGTGTGAAAAATGTGCAGATGCCATTTCACTTGTTGTTTTTAGGGAGATGTTTTGACAGTGTAAGGTATACAATAGATTCTAATTTGCCTGTGCTGTGGGAGACAGTAAGTACAAGCAGTTAGAGACGGCATCTTCCGTCGCTGAATTACCTGGTCATGCACATTGTTAATATGGAGTGGGCCTCATGTCCATTGAAGTGTATACTTCCTTTAATTTTCATTTCTAGCTATCGACAGCGGAGTTTTTTACCGCAGCGCCACCAACAAGGGTATGGAAATTGTCTCCCCTGATGCCGCCATAGTTACTGTGTTGACCGATGCTGACCCCATATCAGCAATACCTCTACCTCTAACACCAATCAAGAACATCAACGGCATGGCATTCCAACTCTTTAACAATATTTGGGATGTCAACTTTATATTCTGGTACCCATATATTAAGGAGGATATGAAAACAGGGACAAAATTCAGATTTGCACTCAATTTCCTTGACGGAAACTAATGTTTAAGATGATTTTTTAGTATTTACTATTTCATATTTCAAACTGTTTGATTGCATAATGTCAGATATTTTATGAGAATGATTTCACTGTATAGAAAAGGTTAAATTTTAAAAAAATTATGAAATATTTTCTTATTATATTTTTAAGAATGCTTATGACTTTGATTATCTTGAAACTGATGTTATCATGTACAGAAACGGGTTGAAGTTTACTGACGTACTTAAACACAAGATGTGTACTTTGTCAGAACGTTCATCTCACTAATGTGGTATCATTTCTGGAAGCGTATAATAGCTAACATGTATTATTCAAGTCTGCAGAAACAGCCAAGCCTAGACACATTTTCTGCAGACTATAAGAGATCCTTTTAATGGTACCTAGTGATGTCATGAAGGTGGTCCACTACCAGAACATGGTACTCAGCTGTCCTTGTCGGACACTGGGTGGAAGTTGTGAGAGTTTTGTTTCTATCACACCTGTCATCTTTACAGCTGGTTGACTGGCAAAGCACGAGTACATGATATGTCTGGTGATATGACGAGGCAGGACTGTATGGAGAAATGTAGTCTCATCACAGTCCCTCAACTATTATGGTTTCACTTCCATCCAGCCCGTTCAATCTAAAAACACTAAATGAAGTAAGTCTAGTTTTCCTCAGGTTCAGAATCCCCAATCTCTCTGGGCTCCTTACCATTTAAATGGACTTCGATGTTTTCTATCAAATATTCCGACATTAAGTGTTAGTGTGGGTTTTATTTTCCCCTGCTGTTAAGCACATCTTCCCAAATATTTATGCGTCTGTTCATTCATCCATTTGTCATGTTTCTGTTCTTGGAATACCCCTGAAACCCATTTGATATTGTGATACAAAACTTTTCAAATGTATCAAATAAATGCCCTTGTTTTCTCACCATGTTTACAAAATGCACTTTTTACTTAACCCAAGAACAAATTACATTTGTACTTGCTTTGCCAGAGATTTACTTACAAAGTGTTTTATATTTTTCAGTTATTTTTATCAAGTATGCAAATTTAGGGCTCGAATACCCAACAATTTTGCCTGGACGGGTCAAGTCGCTAAAACGTACCATTTGGCAGTTATTTTTGTTTCCAGTTTTTCTGAGTAGTTTGCTCCCAAAATGTGCAAATTCTGTGTGGTAGATGATGTCCTGGCGATTCCAGAACACTAATTGTTTTGAAGGTAGACCCAAGAACAGCTGAGATACAGCCTTTTAAAGAGGGAACTATTTCTTCTCCGGAACTACTTAAAAGGTACATGACCCCCGTGACCCCCGTGACCCCGGCTGTATTCGGAAGATCCGCTCGCCTGTCAAAACATGTGTTCTGGCTCCGTTTTGGGCGATGATATCTAGCCCTCAGATACAATAGATAGAAAGTAAAGCCAAGGAGACCTCATCGTTGCCCGAACTATATTTTTTCCTTGGAACTATGTGTACATATGAATACAACACTGAAACTGTCATGCTGTTATTGATATTTACAAAAGGATCAGAACAGGGTTGTGTGAGAACCATTATCATGATTTACTAATAGACATATATACCACATGATCAAAGTGTATGGTGAAGTATTAGGAAAAACAAACACAATTTACCAGTTGCTCCAAACCAGCCTACTTCCTTGTTGTGGGTGTATTAATATTTTGCACATAGGCCATTTTTAAAATAATTACCTGGCACACAACTGGACATGTCATGTTTGTACTTAACAGGTCTTTCATATTAAGGATTGTTTGTAGTTTGGGGGCGGTGGGGTAGACTAGTGGTTAAGGCATTTGCTTGTCACGCTGAAGACTCCGGTTCGATTCCCTACATAGGTACAATGTGCGAAGCCCATTTCTAGTGTACCCGCTGTGATATTGGTGGAATATTGCTATAAGCGGCATAAAACTAGACTCACTCACTCACTCACTCACTCTGTAGTTAGTTTTACTTACTGACTACTGAAATAGTACGCTAATACTCTATTGTATACATACTGTACAATTTGTGTGTGTTTGGTGGGTACTTTTTAACAATATACAACTGGTAAATGTCCAGAGTGAAACCTTGTTAGACTGGAACCCTATTATTAGATAACCTTGATATACCAGACAGTTTTGGGACATCCATATACATCACAAGGAGCAACATCCCAACTCTGGATTCTTTTGGCTGGACATTTGTTTGTCTGGACAGGTTCAGCACAGGACTGTCCAGATTAAGGGGGTCTCACTATGTGGACTGTCAATATGCAGTTCCACAACAGGAATTAGTAAAGAGACCAGAGATTCAGAACCTGAGGAAATCTAGACTTGCTTTATTTAGGGCTTTAGCACTGCAGAGAGGGCTTGGCAGTAGGGAAATAGTGTGGTTCAGGGACTGTGAGACAGACTATTATATCACCGACTCTTCTCCCGGGACACAGGCGGTGGGGTAGCCTAGTGGTTAAAGTGTTCGCTCGTCACGCCAAAGACCCTGGTTCGATTCCCCACATGGGCACAATGTGTGAAGCCTATTTCTGGTGTCCCCAGCCGTGATATTGCTGGAATATTGCTAAAAGCATCATAAAACTAAACTCACTTATTCTCGTGGGACACAAGACTTGGAAGATAAGGTACATATGCCTTGTAAAAAGAGTGGTCAGCCTTAACTTTAGCCCTTGATGATGTTGCAGAAACAGCTGTTTTTCTTTTTTAAATATGTTTGATACATTGACCAAGAACACCAAACTGTACATGCAATTCATGTACAGTTTTCCCTTTATCTTTGCTTGTTTGGGGTATTTTTTATCACCTTTTTCACACCTTAAATTTATGATGAATGATATACACATCTGTGAACCATCAAGAAATGTTGAGGTTTTATGCTAAATCCCACCAATGGTCTCAAAATGTGGTCACAGAATTTCAATGCCAGACTGACAAGCCCCTTGATGACAACATGGCACTTTATATCCCCAATGGTACATTCACTAGTCAATCAAAATACACCATGCAAATTTGTCCTTGAGAACATAACTGCTTGCACTTCAACCAATACATTTCACAGAGTATCCCATTATAGGTAATCTTTAACATGACAACTACATCATGTCTTGGAATAGCATGTAAAGGTGTTTGTTACAGAAAGGCCTTCTTTAAGGGTGTTGTTGGGGACAATCAGGATAATGTGTTAGAATAGGATTCTACTTTCCTTCAAACTAGTTGTCAACCATTGTGTTTCATTTAGCCAATGTACACCAGGTGAAGTTTGATTCCAAATTGTTATTGATACACGTGTTGAATATGTCTCAGTGTTGTATGTGAATGTCTGACATGTAACATCTTGAACATTCCAGCATTCTGTCAATACAGTACAGTGATAATGTGGTAACATATCAACCACAGACATCTTCATCCAGAATTCTGCTGCTGCCAAAAGTTTTATGAAATTTAACAGCTGATGCCATGATCCGAGAGTCGGATAGAAACAAGCGTTATAGAACCTAGCATGTGATATTCAAGGGGGAGGAACAGAGAGGTTAATGTTTTAAAGAATTTGTTCTTCATAACACCAAAAAAGCAATAAACGCAGGGATACAGAATAGCCTATGCTTGTATTTGGTTATGTGTGTTTGTTCCACCAAGTGAGAAGAACAAAGGATGTGTGGGATTTGGAGGCAGTCAGATGCCAGCTTGTATCAAGATTTGTAAATCATCCCATCAACTGATTCAATTGGAAACCAGTCAGCTCGTATGGGCATGGGTGGCCTTATGGTCCATGGCGCTGGTCTGAGTTGTCTCCCTTGCCAGAAACCTATAATCACAGGTTTGATGCTTGATCCTGGTCGTGTCTCTATGTTGAATTCACCAGGAGACCTTATCTGACTCTCCACCCAGATCATGCTGACATTGTGATATCACTGAAATGCTGTTCAAAGTGATGTTAAAGCCATCTCACGCAGCAGTGTTTGAAATGTTACTGAAAAATCAGACAGGGTAGACTCTCTGTACAGCATTCACCCTCTTGGGGATGGATTTGAACCGCAGAACCACCGTTTGGGGACCTTTGCTGATCTACGATTTAGTTGTGTTCAAAGATCCCGGCCATGCATAGACTCCATTGTCTGTTGGGACAGATTGAGGCCTTGGTACCAAAGTGATCAGACATAGGCTCTGCACAGCATTTGCGGATGGATTTGAACCGCACAACTACTGTGTCGGGACTTTTTCTGATCTACAATTTAGTTATGTTCAAAGATCCAGGCCATGCATAGACTCCATTGTCTGTTGGGACCAATGTCCAAACAGATGTATTACCCGATGTTTGATGTTTTGTATGCAGTGGTTTGCCCGCTGACTTGGGGTACATCTTCTGACTGCCCCACTACACTCTCTCTCATGTCCTCGTCTCAGGTCTCTACTACTTCTCGTATGAACGTCTCTGTGATCCTACTGGTGTGTCGTCAGATTGGAGTGTGTAAATATTGATACCTGCGAGCGGACATCTGTTTCTGTTGTTCCTTCAATTTTGCTTTCAAACCGTTCATGGTGTCCCATAGTTCTGAAATATCTGGATCTCTGGTATCAGTCGAGGTCGTCTTAGAGAACGAGTTTGGTATGCCTGTAACCAGCTTAGTTGCAAGAATCCGGGGCATGGGGTGAGAACATGTATTCTACAAATTGTTGGACACACACTGAACAGGTTCCTACAACGCGCATAGTATTATTAAACCTACCATCACATCTGATGTACTATTAGTTAACGTACTTTTTGGAATGTGTGATGCCACAGTTCACTCTGCAGAGTTGCATAACTTGGACACACCAGAATCCTGCGATTGTGGACTCGCACCCTGGTTCCAATTGTTCCTGGTTCCAATTGTTCCAAGTGTTTTACTATACCTATGTTCGTTGGCCACTAAAGTTGTAAAGGTTTGAAATCTGCACCTCTTCGGGCTGTCCTACCATATTTATCCGACACATCATGTTATAAGTGGAATACTGTTATAAGAGCGGACTTCAACCCAACTCACACTCTTCGATATATTACATTAACATGGACAATAACCTTTTGAGTCACTCATACATACAAATAAAATAAAAATTCTTTTGGACATGCCTTCTTTGGAAGTTGACAGGTGCCAAAGTCGACCAATTTTATACCTCTATACTTTTTATCTGATAATTATTTTATATAACATATTATATCTGTTTCGGTATATGGCCTTATACCCTTATCCTGCACAAGAATCTAATCTAAACGAAAGTTGCTATAAATTTGATTTTCCAAAGTAGGACGTTTCCAGTCTCGAAAGGCAACAGTTCATAGCTTTGACTGTTCAGTGACTCTCAGACTCCTGCAGAGGTAACCATACCATAAAGCTGTCGTCTGTGGCACCGAACTTGAAGGAACGTGGTAACTCTTAGGAGGACAAATTCCACTTGAGAAAGGGAGACATGTATCAGCGTCTGGTTGTACCGAATGAGTGGGTGAGGTAGGTCTATCCTGCTTGGAAAGTATTCTATTTATATCGTATCAGAGCGTTTCAGCTGGTATTTGAAAGCCTGAAACGATGCAGATCCACCCTGTGATGGAACCACCGACCACGTGTATTGTGCTGGGAAACGTGGCCAGGGCGATCTG